AAAGAGTGTGCAAAGGACAACTTAAATTCTTCAGCATGTACTGTACAAATATTTGACATTTCTCAGTGACCTGTTATCAGTTCTTGCAAACTCTACAGTTGGTCTGTTGGTTTGATAACAGTAAGTGTCTATCTGCCTGAGGATGCCCAAAGTGCTTTTACCTTGTTATTGCTTTGTTTTCTTGAACCTCATTGAAAATACAGGGGCTCTGAATCTCTTTTTCTCTTACGTTGGACTAAGTCATCTTGAAAATCTCCAGGGTTTTAGTTTTGCCTGCTTTTAAGTTGCCCCTGCCCCCAACACTAACCCAAAGCAAGGCAGAAATGCAGCATTTATTCCTCCTGTTCTAGGCTTCGAGATGAACACACCCTCAGTGACTTCTGGCCCCATCCTTAATGTTGGCTTCGTAGAGGTCCCAAGGACCCTTTGTCCCCATGGTGACCTTTACACTGTGGACTTTAAACTGTCTTAACAACGCTTAACACTGTGGAGGAGCTCTTTTGCCTTCTTTGGGATGTGCTAAGAGGCATGTGAGCTACAGCTCTATTTTCTGTTCCTGTTTTCTGTGGACAAGATTATAATGTTGGATGTTTCTCCTGACTTTGTATTATATGCTGTGGCAGACACACTTGATGTAATAACTCATTAGGCAAGTTACCTAACCTCACTGAGCTTGGTTTCAGTATCTGTAAAATGGGAGAATAATGTCCTCTTTGTAGATGTGGTCGATGAGGATGAAATGAGGTAACACATGTGAGAACTTAGCATAGTAGCCAGCACAGCGAATGGTATATAAATGCCTTCCAGGGAATGGCATTAGGGGAGACAACCCTGTTTTTAACCTTTTCAATGATTTTAAAATTTCTTTTAAGAAAAGGAATTGGCATTAATCTTTGTACTCATAGTTAGGTGACAAGAAATACACATAAACTTTCCCCTGAGTTGGTTGGTGGTAGTGATCACATTTGAAGTGGAGGATAATTTCAATCAGTTATGAAGGTGAAACTCCCTAGATACACCACTTGGCTTCTCATTTATTCCTAGTCAACAGTATTATCACTTGTGATCCAGTTGCTCTGCCTGCTGACCATATTCAGTAATTAGTGAAGTAGAATGACCAGAAAAACATACTTGCTATTTCATGTAATAACAATGTGACATAACTAATTATACCCTGGGCTACTAATGGAAAAAACAGATCTTGTTATCTAACATTTAAATGTAAAGGTAGTCAGTTATATATTTTGAGCTACGTGTGCTTTGCAGTATTCCTTGAATGGTATGCACGTAAACATTTCCTAGAGAAAGGCATGGTCAGTCGTGACTTTTGGTAGAAATGGAACAAGTATGAAATGGCTAGGGAATATCTGTTTGAAGATCAAGGGTAGTCATTTAAAATCTATCCATTCATAAATGAAATGATTAATAATAAAATTTATTGAGCTTTTATAGCATTCTAGGCACCATGGCTAAGGCTACACATGAATCCTCACAGCTTGCGAAGTAGAAACAGGATCCAGTTCCTGTTTTGCTGATGAAGTAAATGAGGTTCAAAGAGGTTACTGACTTGCACAAGATCACCTGGCAAGGAGGTGACAGAGCCAGACTGAAGACTGTCTCTGACTCCGGACCGGAACTCTGTCTTAACAGCAGTGCTATCCTGATTTTGACCAAGTTTTAGGGACTCCAGAAAGGAAATGTGGCCAAACCTAGATCACTTTTCTAACCTACTCAGACATTTTTTTGTTCACCATTAACGGCAATGCTCTGATTCTGGCAAGTTGAAATTGCTCTTGGTTTCCCACCGATTCCAAAAAGCAATTCTGTTAAAAACTGCTGACTCTTCCTGGAAATATGATACCCATTTCCTATACAGACCTCTTCTCCTTTTTATTTTTCTCTGTGCCAGGTCCATGAGTAATTTTCATAAAATTGATACCTTTCTCAGAAATTCTCTCTCAAAACTGGGGCAAAATGATAGTTGTTGATGACTTTTCTTAGAGTTGGTAGGTTTGATTCTCTTCTCTAAGTCTCATTTCCCCTTTGTGTGGCATACTGATTGAAAGCAGGGACTGTAAAGCCACAGGCCTGAGTGAATCCTGCCCTACTTGCATCCTGGGGCAAATAACTTACCTTTCTTGGGCCTGTTTTCATACTTGTAAAATAGGGATAGGAACTGTACTTATTACTGTATAACACTTAGCACTGAGTATTATTAATATTGTCAGATACTTTTATTTGTTCTAGTGAATGAGTATGATTTTATAGGAACTAATTTTTATTTTATTCTCTCTGCAGCTATTGAAATATTTGAAGAAACTCTCCACCTTACCTATTACTGTAGACATTCTCGCGGTAAGAATTGTATAACTTTAGATATTATATAAAACTATATCCATTCCCATTCCCACTGGGAGAGATTGTGCAGTAAGATAAAGAGTATGGGCTTTGGAAGTGAAAGAAACCAGACACAAGGGTGGTGGTGGTGGTGGGAAATTGAGGGGCACAGGGTTTCTTTCTAGGGTGATGGAAATGTTCTGGAATTAGTGGTGATGGTTGCACAGTAATGTGACTATTCTGGAAACCATTGAACTATTTTTAAATGGTTAAACTTTTAACCATTTGAACCATTGAACACTTTTAAATGATTAAAATGGTGAATTTTATGTGATGTGGGTTTTATCTCAAACATTTTTATTTCTAAAAATTAAAGGAACATTGGCTTTCATATCAACTAGTCCTGGGTTCAAATCCAAGTACTGTGACTTTAGGCTGTTCATTCTTTGTAAAATGGAGCAGGTTCCTGAGTTGTAAGGATTGATTCAGATACTCTTAACTTAGTGTCTGACACCTACCATAATCACTCTGGTTATTATTGTTAAAGTTCTAAAAGTGTTTTTATTAAAGGTTTTCCTCTTCTGAATCTAGTATGCTTTGCTGCTCTGTGCCATTAGAGGTTTGGGGTATAGAAACAAACTAATTTTGTACTGAGACTTTAGGGTATAGTTTAGGAAGGAAGTATTGGGTTGTTGAAAAGCAAGAGGCCTGATTTCTTTGAAAATTGTGAGCCTTTTTCCACAACCCTCCAATAATTACTTTGTCAAATTTATAGGAGACCGGGGTTGGGAAAACAGTAAATAGCTTACGAAAACACGAGCACGTTGGAAACTTTGCCAGGGACCTGGTGGCCCAGTGGAAGAAGCTGGTTCCTGTGGAACGGTAAGAAAATTACTTTGTAGGCTTGTTCAATTTCATGGTGGAAGCATTTTGAGTGTTTATACACAGAAAAATTTTTATTCCTTCTCTGCCTTATTTAAAGTGTTTATTTTGCCTCAATTATAAACATAATCCATGATCATTATAGAATATTAGAAAATATTTAAAAATAGAAATAAGGATCAAAATTTCTATGGTTCTATCATCCAAAGACAAGTATTAATACTAACATTTTGGTATGTTTCTTTCTAACCTTTTTTTAAAAGGCTTTTTATACAGTTGTGAACAAACTATAACAGCCCCCTTTTTAAAGTAACAAGTTAAATATGTCCCTGTGATGAAAAAAAAGTGTTAAGCATTTTTGTGTCCACAAGATGTTTGATCTTCTTTGTATCTTGTAATTAAACTTGTCATTTTCCATTTATTGAATATTAGAGTTTTCCCAGTTTTAAAACTTAATCGAGCGTCTTTGAGCAGAACACATTTACTCTGCATTCTCCTCAGCTGTTTTGTGAATTCAGGTTCCGTGAGTGTCCTCTGAGCAAGGATTACACTGAGGTTTATAACTGCTGTATCTTTTATTTAGAAACACTGAGCCCGATGAACATGACTTTGAGAAGAACAGTTCCCGAAAGCGCCCCCGGGATGCGCTTCAGAAGGAGGAGGAGATAGAGGGGGACTACCACGAAAACTGGAAAGCCTCCAGTAGCCGACCATATAGTCCTGATCACAGACAGAAAAAACACAGAAAACTCTCAGAGCTCGAGAGACCTCACAAAGCATCTCACGGTCAGGAGAGGAGAGACGAGAGAAAGAGGGGCCACAGGGTTTCACCGATTTACTCTTCAGATCACGAATCTTCCGATTACGGCCATGTTCAGTCCCCTCCATCCTCTACCAGTCCTCATCAGATGTCTGTGGACCATTATAGATCCCTGGAGGAGGACCACGAGCCCTTCGCTTCACAGCAGAAGCCTGGAAAAGGCCACAGTAATGCCTTTCAGGACAGACTGGGGGTCAGTCAGGAACGACACCTGGGTGAACCCCAGGGGAAAGGGGTTGTGAGTCAGAACAAGGAGCACAAATATTCCCATAAAGAAAAACGCCCAGTGGAGTCCCGGGGAGATGAGAAGTCATCCCTGAGCAGAGAGAAACCCCATAAGGCCATCTCCAAAGAGGAAAACCGGAGGCCCCTCTCTGGGGATGGCACAAAGGAGAAACTGCCCTCTAGTGGTGTCAAGAAAGAGAAGGAAAGAGAGGGCAGCACCAAGAAGTTTTTATCCACCTTGGAGATTGCTTCGGACAACCACCTCAAAAAGCAAAAGCACAAAAACTCAGAGAAAACCAAATCAGACAAAAACAAGCAAAGTCTAGACAGCTTAGACATAGGAAAGGGGGCAGGGGACCTGCTGCCCAAGACAAAAGAGAAGGTTTCTAACAACCTAAAGACTCGGGAAGGGAAAGGGAAAACTCCTCATTCAGATAGAAAGTCAGTGGGCTCCCTCCCAAAAGTTGAGGAGACGGATATGGATGATGAATTCGAGCAGCCCACCATGTCTTTTGAGTCATACCTCAGCTATGATCAGCCCCGGAAGAAAAAGAAAAAGATTGTTAAAACAGCCACAACCGTTGGAGAAAAAGGACTTAAAAAAAATGATTCGAAAAGCACTAGTAAAAACTTGGACTCAGTTCAGAAATTACCTAAGGTGAACGAAAACAAGTCAGAGAAGCTTCAGCTCACTGGAGCTGATTCAGCCAAGCCGAGAAAGGTAGGTAACCCCTTCATCCCCTTGGTGGCTTCCCATTCAGAGCATCTGGCTCTGCTGAGCTCCCAGGACTCACCCTGCTGCTGTTTTGCTTGGCCGACTTTTATATGGCCTGTCGAATTTCAGTTTGAAGTAGTTTCCTTTGGGCCTCCCTAGGATGGGGAGTACCCAAGAAAAGTATCTGCTGAGGTGTCCCGTTGTGCTGGGCCCATCTATATGTATTTCCTGACTTAGGCTGTAGGTGTCAGACATGACACTGCTGCCCCTCCTCCAGCCCAGAATTGCCTGACATTATCTGCCTAGTCGGCACTCTTGGGAATGGACTGTAGGAAGGGGGGCTGTGCTTGTAGAAGAGGGCTCTCCAGTCACTAGTCTCTTCTCTGCAGGTCCCCGCTGATGCATTGCCAGTGTTGCCAGACATCCCATTACCTATGATACAGGCCAATTACCGGCCACTTCCTTCCCTCGAATTGATATCCTCCTTCCAACCAAAGAGAAAAGGTAATTTTCTGTATCTGTCTTTTTAATGGAAAAAAGGATTTAAAAAATTGATTCATGCTCTGTCATCAGATTTTGGTGCATTTCCTAATTGCACAGGCTCTGGAGTTTGATGTTTTGAGTTTGAATCCAGCTCTGGCTTCTACAAGTTACATGAACATGGGTAATAATTTCCTTGGACATCAGTTTCACATTCTATAAATGAAAATAATAATGGTATCTGCCTGTTAAGTGGATTAAAAGTGATAATGCTGGTTAAAAAAAATGTAGTTTTCATAGCAAAAGAATTTAAAATCACGTGTTTCTCAGCAAGAGATCAACAGCTAAATCATGGTTCATCCACACAGTGGCATCCTATGCAACTGTAAAAAATGTGAGAGGTCTGTGTACTGACATGGCATGATTCCTAAAATGTGGCAAATTAAAAAAAATGAGAGTATGTTATTAATTGGTTAAAAAGAAATAAAATACATAGTTGCTTATTTTTGCAAAAACTGGTAACTGGTTGCCTTGAGAAAGCAAAATCAAGGCTGTGGAATGGGATGGAAGGACAGTTTTCACTTACGTTCCTGTTTTTCTTATACTATTGGTTAAAAAGAAATAAAATACATAGTTTTTCTTATACTATTGGTTAAAAAGAAATAAAATAAAATGGGATGGAAGGACAGTTTGCACTTACGTTCCTGTTTTTCTTATACTATAGCACACTCTTCACCCCAGGAAGAGGAAGAAGCTGGATTCACGGGACGAAGAATGAATTCTAAGATGCAGGTGTATTCTGGTTCCAAGTGTGCCTATCTCCCCAAAATGATGACCTTGCACCAGCAGTGCATCCGGGTACTTAAAAACAACATCGACTGTAAGTCACATGCTTCTTTCTTGCTCTCAGGCATGTTGTGGCACTGGGATCTTACCCCTGGGTGGCTTGGCTGCTACTCAGTGCTTTCACCTTTGGTCTCTGCAGCAATCTTTGAAGTGGGAGGTGTCCCTTATTCTGTTCTTGAACCTGTTTTGGAGAGGTGTACTCCTGAACAGCTGTATCGTATAGAGGAATACAACCACGTGAGTATCCTGTTTGGGTGGGAAGAGGGGGCAGTTTTCTGGCTTATGTCTTCAGAAATAGCTTTGTCTTTTTGAATTTGCTGTGGCTGAAGGGCAGGCCAGTGGTCAGATCACTGTGTTGGACATATTTGGTTTGCCTGTGGGCCTTTAACCCATTTCCCGTTTAGAAAAAAAAAGTACAGCTTGCTGCCAGCATTAATTTTATATAAACACACTCTTTGAGGCTGAAGCAAATCTGACTGGTTTTCATTGTGAAAATAAATTATAAAAACTGTTCTTACAGTTATTTCTACACAGAACTTGTCTCTAATCCTATGTAACAGAAATGTGTACATAAATTGGATTCATCAAATGAATCTTTGGCTAACAACTGTTCAAGAACGATGTAAACATAACGCGTAGGAATGCTACGTTTTTTAGGATTTGACATTTTCAGCAATTGAGAATTACTATATTTTGTAAGTGGAAACACCACTACTAAAAACAGAATAAGTAGAATGACGTCATTTATTTCCAAAGACTATCGATATGCTAGAGCGATGTGAATACAATAAAAGTGAGATATTTCGTGGCAGATTTCGGGGGTATGGTTAGGACTGTAATCTGTGAGTTTTCCGGAGGTAAACGCTGCAGCCACAAGTACCACTGGTGAGTATTCTCAGGGCAGAAGGGAAATGGGTTAAATGATATTTTTAGCACCTGCCTCTAGAGTCTTAAGTGGGTCTCTGGGGTAGAATCAAGTTGGGATTCAAAGGGAGTGAGAAAACGCTTCCCTCATCTCCCTTGAGCTTGCCCACTCACAGAGATTAAGGGGGGATTCTGGCAGCACAGCTCCCTGGGACCCAGGGTGGGGACAGAGCTTTGTGTTGACGCTCAGGTGTCTGGTGAATTTTTAAAAGAGCACAGATGACTAGGTTTCTCCTAGAGGTATTCAGATCTATTCAAAAATCCTTGTAATGCTGGGATGTACTCATTTGATTGCATTAGCTGTTTCTCATTCTGAGGTTATAATATATCCCTCTTAGGTGGCCCACTTGCCATTACAGTTCAGTGCTCGGGAAATGCCCAGATTTGACTTCATCTTGGTTCTATCCTTTACCGATTTTTCTAAAGGAAAAGACTGATCTTAAACTAATTTTGTGGTGTTTTGTGTCCTAGCTCCACAACCCCCCAAAAGCAGCTAGCACAGTGCCTTATACTTCTTTTAATTTAGCGATTTGATTTTTTTTCTAGAACTAGGGTATTTTAATATACTACTACTATGCAGATCAAAAAATCATTAGGAAACTGGTAATTAAGGGTGGAAAAGAGATATGTAAGAGCGCTTGCAAGTAAATGATGTCCTGGTTCTGGTTTTAGGTATTAATTGAAGAAACAGATCAATTGTGGAAAGTTCATTGTCACCGAGACTTTAAGGAAGAAAGGCCAGAAGAGTATGAGTCATGGCGGGAGATGTACCTTCGGCTTCAGGATGCCCGAGAGCAGCGGCTACGAGTACTGACAAAGAATATCCGATCTGCACATGCCAATAAGCCCAAAGGTGGGTGGGGATGCCGATGGGATGGGGCCTGGCAGAATGGTGAGCCTTGTGCTCTAGCTGACAGCAGGGCTGTGGTGGGCTTGGCTGATGTAGGGCCTCTGGCTCCTAAATCTCTTGAATTTGCATAAGTGGGGCAGGAATGGTGGTTTCTTCTGCCCCTGCTAATGCTACCCTATAGAGGGGGGTTTTCACCACTGATGAGCTTTGGGGGCACTTGAGCCTTTATTTCTTAATAGTGTAGATTATTAAAAAACAGCATCTCTGCTCAAGAAGGCATATTTTTTCACAGGCCGACAAGCAAAGATGGCCTTTGTCAACTCGGTGGCCAAGCCACCTCGTGATGTTCGAAGGAGGCAGGAGAAGTTTGGAACAGGAGGAGCAGCTGTGTCCGAGAAAATCAAGTACGATATCTGCTTCTCTGCGGTTTCCATATGCTCAGGGAAGAGTCCAAGTGCTTGTCATTTACCCTGAAAAGGCAGCCTAGGGACAAGAAGCAATTCATTTGTGGGGTGAAAGTACAGCGATGCAGGGCGGGTTCTGGAAGCTGACCTTGACTAGCTTGGCACTTGACCTCTCTGAACCTCAGCTTCCTTGACTGCAGTGTGGGCTGGATAATTATTCTTGCCTCTCAGAGGGATCAAGATTAAATGGAGCACAGGGCCTGGCTTCTGAGAAACATTCACTTATACTTTCCCTTTCCTCATTAAGCAAAAATGGGTTTACTATGATGACTAATTTAATCTAAGTCACCTTGGCATTTTCACAATGCAGATTTACACATAAACAGTGAGAAGTTGAGATTATCATTCATTCTGAAATGCTGAAGCTATCATCTCAGAGCCATCACCAGAATCTAGGGTGCTGAGTTTCATTGGTCAAAGCCACGAAACTGAGTCTACCTCAGAAAGGCCAGCTTCAGGCTCTTGGTGCTGAGGGCAGCTTTCTCATGCTTGTGACTAACCGGCTTTGTTCTGTGATACAGGATTAAGCCAGCCCCATACTCCACAGGAAGCAGCCATGCTCCCTCCAGCAGTGGCAGCAGCAATAGCTTTAATGCCAGCCCCGAGGAGCTGGCATATGATGGCCCGAGCACCAGCAGTGCCCACTTGGCGCCTGTGGTCAGCAGCACTGTTTCCTATGATCCTAGGAAGCCAACTGTGAAGAGTGAGTAACTTGGGGTTCCTGCTCAGATTTCAAAACTAGCATTTGAACCCCTATAATGTCATTACCACCACATCACATTTTGTGTTTTGGACGTAGCATATGTATGATGCCTTGCTCATAGCTTGTCTGAATGTCAGTGCCTCCTTTCTCCTGCTTATTCATATGCATGTTTATTTTTTAAATGATGATTATAGTGAATATTCATTTTGGCACTATTCCCAGTATTCTGAGGTGTCCTAACTTAACAATGGCGTCATTCTATATTCATTTCAGGTCCCCTGGGAGGGTGGGAGTCCTGGCCTAAGCTTCGGCTGTGCTCAGGTTAACCAGTTGAGAGAGCAGGCTAGCCTTCCTTAGGTGGTATGTGCATTTAGGTCCTCTTAGACCTGTTGCTACACTGGACAGATGGGGGTGGGAAGGGAGTGATTTTGCCAGTTTGGAAGTTGGTGAAGCAGAATTAAATTCTGGCTCTGTGTGGCCATTAGAGTCTGAACTGAATTCCAGTTCTGCCACTTACTGTTCAACCAGGGGCAGGTTGGCCAGTCTGCGTCCTGGTGAGGTTGTTAGAGAGATTGTTCTGGGCCTGGCAGGTGCTCAGCAAGTGTTAGCTGTATGCCGCTGTTTTTATTGTGGTGTTAGCTGACAGCTGCTACTTGCATCCATTTAAGGGGTGGTGCAGAGCCAAGACTTTGGCTTTGATTGTAAACCCCTGGTGGTAAATGTCTAAACTGCTATGTATCTGAAACAATGGCCTTATTTCTCTTTTCACAGAAATTGCCCCAATGATGGCTAAGACAATTAAAGCTTTTAAGAACAGATTCTCGCGACGGTAAACTGAGGACTTGCCTTGGAGATGGAATTTGGGGGTGAGGAATACAAAGACAGTGGGGGTTGGGGAATGGAACTTCCAAAGGAGACGGGAGTCTTTTGCTCTGTGGAAGCTTTGGTCTCCGAATCCTGCACGGTTTGCAGGTGTTGCACCTGTGAGCCTCTGTGCCGCAGCCACTGCCTCCCTGCCTGGAGAACACTTCAGAATTCTGAAGAAGATGTGAAGCCTCAGTCTCACTGAGGATTTTAAGGTCAATTATACTTTTGTTGTTAATTAGCTTCTTTGTAAACTATAAGACATAGTTTTAATTAATAAATATTGCCCCCAGATTGTATTTATATTACCCCCAGGTTTTTCTGTTTTTGTTTTTTGTCCTCTTCCACACACTTAGCTTTTTATTTTCGGGATCCTTTATTAAAGTTAGACAAAAGCCTAGTGAAAGCCATTCTCCCATCCCAGTTCAACTCTCCTGAGTGGATTCTGATCCAGCAGAAGGTCTGGGCATCCCAGAGGCCTGTGTGCTGTCTGTTCCACGTAGGGCAAGGCGGGGGTCTTGGGCTGCCTCTCCTAGAGGGGAGCCTCCACGTGCAGACAGGAAGTGTTTGGGCTGGACTCCTCACCTCTGAGACCCTGCTCAGTGTTGCTTTGAGTTCCTATGCAGGTGCATCTCTTCTTACTCATTAAATAGTATTTATTAAGGGGGGTTATTTGTACAGGTCTAGAGTCTTTCTTCCACCCTTTTTGCCAGTTCCCCCTTTTTTTTTTTTTTTTGAGGCTTACTAGAAGATATAGAACCTTGGGAAATCTATTTGCACAGAAGCCCAGCATTTTTACAATTTCCAGTTTCTGATTCAAAACTTTAGGGTTTTTTTCCCTCCCCTGGCATGGAGGAAAGACAAATACATGGCAGGGCTTTTGTAGCCGCCCCCACCCCCCCAATACAACTTTAGAATTTTAAAAGCCAGCACTTTAATCTCTTGATCTCTATGAATTGCTACTAGAAGTGAATGGTTTTAAAAGTTGGAAATTGGTTTTCTTTTTGCTCTATTTAAAAAGATCACGAGATTGGAAGAGCACAGCAATTTGCTATGTTTTATAGAGAACTCTACAGCTAAAGCTTTTTTTGAGTGTTTAAGCCAGAATTTGGAGGGAAGGGCCAACTTAGCAAAAGTGTCTGAGCTGAGGCATCAGGATGGGGTGAGCTGCAAGGGCACCCATCTGGTTTGGGAAGGGAGGATCTCGCTTTCACGTTGACATAGGAACAAGCTCAGAACTAGGAAGACAGCGTCAGTGCCCTTCTTGGCTGCTGAAGAGCACTGATGTAGTAGGAACCCACCTGGTGGTGACCCAGGTGGAAGCTATAAATTTGAGGTGCCCGTCCTCATGAAACCTGAGGGCGTGATTGGTGTGACAGCCTGAAGAGCTTGGCAGTCAGTCCCCTCTACATGCTCACTCAAAGCCCAGAATTGGAGCCCACAGTTTTTAACCAGCCTGGAGACCTCAGTTAGACTAACTTTAAAGATTCCACAGCAGCGCAGGAAATCTGTGCAGCAAGAGCTGCATTGTTCAGTGAGTGTTGCTTTGCAACGGGACATAAGTATTGCTGTGTTTTAATTTGGTGTATTTTTTAATTGAGTTAAGTGTTATTTCTCTTGATTGTTTGTATTACCATTCCACCCCTTTCCCCTAGCGTGCTCTGCAAACCTGATATTAGGAAGCCTCTTACCTAAAACCAAATGAGCATCTGGGTCAGGTGCCAGGTATCTGTTGCCTAGAATAGCTTCCTCGAGGTATCCACGACCTTAAATTTGTCTCTTAGCTGTGTGTTCAAGTCTTTGTCATTGAAACCAGTTTTTCATATTTCAGATTCAGATGTGTATGGTTTAATTTCCTTTATTAGGCGTCTTTAGGCAGGGAGGGGAAAAAAGACATATATATGTTCATCCCAACATCACTACCATAGATTTTTGATCACCCCTGTTTGCATAGAACCAGATCTTTCCCCTCTCCCCCTCCAAGAGTGTCTGCATCAGGGATGTGACTTGGTGAGAAGAGTAAGGAGGGAAGAGGAAAAACCAGATTTCTAAATGACCTCCTCACCTGGGTTATTGAAACGGCTGCAGAGCAGACACAGGATGATGTTGAACCTTTGGTCTCATTTGTGAAAACTTGTGCAATTTTTTTTCTGTGCTACACTACATACAAATCACCAAGTTACAAATTAACCGTTTGTGATTGCTGGTGTAATGAGCAGATTCTTTGGGGCTTTCTCTTTCTTTCCAGGAAGCGGGAGGAAAAGGAGCAAGGTATCATCCTGCTCTTCATTTGTATTTTGGTCCCAAAATGTAAATACAATTTTCTATGTTACTTTTTTGTGGTAACTACCAAGATGAATATTTTAATTAGATAAGTTATATGAAAAGGAAGAAAAATTCCATGTCTAAATAAAAAAAAAAAAACAAAAAAAACCATTACTGTTGTCTTTCTTCCTTTCTCCCTTATTGTGTCAGAGAATGGAAGTCGGTAACAAAGTGTCTGGTTTGTGGGCTGTGAGACAGAGATCTTCATCCTTGGGCTGGGCCTTAAAGGATGTTGGATTTTTGTCTGTAGCAATAGCAGGATTGGGAAAGGGGAAAGAGCCCTGCGAGCAAAGGGAGGAACTCATAAAAAATGAGCACCTCGTGGGGACCAGGCACTGTCCTTTGTTATTCTTGGAACCCTGGGACTGAGTTATTAGCCCCATTTTACAGTTAGAAGCTGAGGCTCAGAGGGGTGAAATAACAGCCAAAGCCACATAGCTAGTAAGTAGCAAAAGGAAAGGGTTGGAAACACACATTCTTTGACTGCAAAGTGTGTGCCACTCCACCATTCAGTCACTTCTTGGGAGTTGTGAAAGACACAGGTAGGTCTCCTCAGTCTTACACTGGTTTCTTAATGAGAGCATAATGAACACTAATGCAGAAAAGTGAGTCAACAGAGAATTAATGAGAACCTGCTGTGTTGGCACTGGCCGAGATGCTGGAATTTCAGCATTTGCTAATAGAGCCAAAGGCTTGGTTTTAGCTCCTGCACATATTGAGTGGGCCGGATCTTACATCAAACCTACAACATCTCATAGCAACACAGTTGTATTATCTCTTCTCTCTTAAAGAGGACATTCTTGGTGTATGGGCTGGCCTTATTTTTCCCAGTTCTTTACTGGATCTAATTCTCAGTGTTAGAAATCAGTATGCACTGAAGTTAGTTATGGAATGTGGTATCTGATGGATGACTTTAACCAGAATTTGTAAGGTAACCCTTTGTCCTTTATTCATTAACTCTACATTTGCTGAGCCAGGACCTGTATTAGACCATGGAATACAGAGTAACAGTCAAGTCTGGCGCTTACAGTCAGGTAAGAGTAACTGATCCCACTGGTTATGCACTTGCTACGTGCCAGGAACCACTGTCTCATATACATTGTCTTGGTTATCACAATGATCCTACAAGGTAGGTAGTAAGAGCCTCATTTTAAAAATGAGAAAACCGAAGCACGGAGAAATTAAGAACTTGCCCAAGGTCATCAGTGTGCAGTGGTGCTGTGTATTGGCTTGACTCCTAAGCACATTCTCAGTCACATTTAACCATTTCATACACAAACACACATACCCAGTGTTTGGCTTCTGCAGCAAAGCTGACTCCAGTGCAAAAAGATGCCCAAGCCAAGGCCATAATCATTTCTAAGAATGACTTTTTTTCTCTGTTGTATATAACTGATGCCCAGAAGAATCATCTACCTGGCTTATCACTTTGACAGATGCTTCTTCCTTAGGGTTTTTCCACTAGCGTTCCATGTACACTTGAGTCTCTCCCTAGTCATTGGCTAAATAGTGAAATAGGCGGTTTGTCTTCATAAGCCCCCAGACTTCTCTTTCTGTAATGCCTACTGTCTCAACTCTCTTCAAAAGCTTCTGAGGAAGGTTCAAGCTATCAAAATTTTATATAGTTATCTATACCTGTGTTTCTCAAGCATAGAATCTCTGGGGTTGGGGCCTCATGATATGCATTAAAAAAAAAAAAAGGCAACCCAAGTAATTCTTAACATGTACATTAAAGTTTGAGAACTGCTCCAGAGGATTTGCCACAAATAGTTTAAAAGCTCTTCACAGTTGGCGCATTGGTCAGGGCTGGGAAGCTTGCACATTCAGTCACAGCAAATATTTGTGTTGTCCTCATACTTGTCACTGAATAAGATAGACATGGCCCCTGTCTTCAGGGAGATTTCATTTAAGAGGGAGACAGTAATCAAACAACTGTACAAATCATGATTTAAAATACAGATTTCTAGGCCCCACTGCAAAAATCTGAATAGGTCAGAAGTAGGATCTGGAAATATGGACTTTTTTATAGGCCTCTCCCAGTGAGTTTGATGAGCAGCCT